ATAAAAATACACAGGGGCTTTGTTGCCGTAGCACCCGTACACTTTTTGTCGATATGTTCACATCACAACAGAACGTCTTGGAAAAAGACGTCAAGACAAATTATATTCCGGGGGTAAGTCACAATTGATATCCTGTCCCCTCGATCGTGATAAACAAGTACCTCTTCGACAGGGGACTTTTCCTGAAATAAAAAAGCGTGAAATGTCAAAACTCGGACCCGATCCTACGATTTACGCCGGTTTGACAAAATGAAACGTGAATTAGTTGAACATGTGCATACTTACATTTCGACGCTATAAAAACGGTTAGTCACACTACAATTATGTTTACATTTAAATCAGTGCTTTTTTATGCTTTCTTTAAATAGATGAATTTGCGCACATTTCGTGTAAATGATTGAAATTGATTTTCCATTAAGTCCGTTACTTACCTGCATAAATCTAGCGTCGTTTTGACAGATTGAACCCCGATAATAATATAAATAATTTAAAAAAATACTGTATGGTCAACCTACGGTTTATTAAAAAAAATATTTATCAGTCTTTATCTTTAGGATAATTGGTTAAATATCAGACTATATACAATAATCAGTAAATACGTCGACTATAGGCCTTGATAATCACCTACCCCGGTTGTTGGCAGTCTGGGGTCAGACCTCTGTCTTGTTCAATCCAGTTACCAAGGTTGGGCTCCAGGGGCATCAGCCAGGTCATTTCAGCCCCCAACGCAATCAGTTCCTAAAACCAGACCTTCAGTCCCTCACCCACTCTTAAATTCATTCTTTCCTATTACATATCATTCACTCAGTTGGGGTGGTGGAGTACTCGATATTCGTCCATCACACTTTACAACTATTATACAGGGTGTTCTTTTTAGATGGCCTGGCTGAATTTCTCTAGAACTTTACAATTAATTAAGGTTTTTAGTTGAGATGAAAAAAAGTCAATGGCACGAGAGGGATTCGAACCCACGACCTTCGGCTAGATACGCCGCTACTCTACCACCTGAGCTATCGTGACCTCGATCCACTCGGACATCAACTCCCCATCTCAACCCCACCTTATGAGTTTTCCCTCCTTTTGCCATTTTTGACATGGGGGTTGATGTCTGAGTGGATCGAGGTCACGATAGCTCAAGTGGTAGAGCAGCGGCGTATCAAGCCGAAGACCGTGGGTTGGAATCCCTCTCGTGCCATTGACTTTTTTTCATCTCAACTAAAAACCTTAATTAATTGTAAAGTATTAATTGGTCAAGCGGACCACGAAATTAGTGAATTTCTCTAGAACCAAAACGCTATAAAAAAATACGTGTTTAATATTTTTTATCTAGTTTCGAATTTTTAGCTTTTGAGAAAAAGTGTACAGGGTAGGGTACCCCAGACCCAGTTCAATTTCGAAATTTCAGATTTGACCCTTTACACCCTGCCACGTCATTTTAAAGGTTTGTTTACGCCGAAAACAATGGTGCAGTCGGATTTTATATTGGTCAAAAAATGACAAAGGTATGGCAAAAAGAAATCGGCAGCGTAGTTTCGATGATGAGCTGAATATTTTACTGTATTAATTAAGGTTTATAGTTGAGATAAAAAAGTCAGGAGCGGGATTCGAACCCACGAGCTTCGGCTAGATACGCCGCTGCTCTACCACTTGAGTTATCGTGACATCGATCCACTCGGACTTCCCATCTCAACCCCCACCTTTTGAATTTTCCCTCCTTTTTGCCATTTTTTCAAATGTCGTGTAATCTATTTCATTCTAGGCGGCAAATGTAAAATGGCAAAAAGGAGGGAAAATTCAAAAGGTAGGGTTGAGATGGGAAGTTAGTGTCCGAGTCGATCGTAGTCACGATAGCTCAAGTGGTAGAGTAGCGGCGTATCTAGTCGAAAGGTCGTGGGTTCGAATCCCGCTCATGATACTGACTTTTTTATCTCAACTAAAAACCATAATTAATTGAAAGTTATTAATTGGTCAAGCGGACCACGAAAACTTGTGAATTCATAAACTATGTTCATCCGCTCTATCATGTTCTTCATTACTATTAAATCTTAACCGTTTGACTCATCTTTATATTGTTGTATGTTTGCATAATAATATCGGTTTTTTTCTCGAGTTTGGGATAAAAGTAGTTTTATTGGAAAAATATGACTCTAGCGTTTTTAGTCTACATTTGAAAAACTCTGACCTTTTGATTTTATCTTCACAATATGTGATGATTGGGTCTTAAACGGGACATTGCTTATACTAAGACCACAAGAAGTGGTTACACCAATTAATCAATCGACTAGCTAATAAATTAATTTTTCTATTAAAATTTAAAAAAAATATTAAATCAGTCTAGGTTGATTTAGCCATCTTAAAAAAAATGTCTTTAAACTCCGTCATTTTTTGTATAGATAATTCCTCTGGTAATTAAGTTGCCAAATAGTAAAACTTAAGTTTTTAATAAAAATATTGACAAATTGTAATAATCAATCAGTTGTATATTGAGCAGATCAGTCCAGAGGCATTTTTCATATAGTTTCCTTCAACTGAACAATTTCCAGAAAATGCTTTGCATTAGTTTACTCTAAAAAGGCTTATAAAAACAAATAATTATAAAATCATCCAATTTTAAGTTTTCAATATATATGTGAGTCAAATGATTAAAAAAATCCCTCATATGTTTTTTTTAAATCTCTGAATTAATATTCATTGTCTGCAATTTTAAAAGTTTAGTTTTAATTTCACATTTAGCCCTAAGCTACTTTAACATGGATTTGTTTTGGGCTGGATAAACATTGCGTAATCAGTTTTGTGTCATCGGTTAGGTTAGCTGGTAGGGTTAGAGACGAGTTAGGTTAGGGTTACGGTTATAAGAGCTTGATTAGGTTAGAGTTAGGGTTACAGTTATGATAGGTTTAGTGTTAGAGCAAGGTTAATATAAGTGTTCGGGTTAGCTTAGTGTTAGGATTAAGGGTAGGTTAGTGTTAGCGTTAGGACGGGTTAAGTTAGGTAGGTGTAAGGTTAGTGTTAAACATCCATGATTCATGGATATATAGGTTTTTGGCGTGACGATTTTTGCGTTATTGGTTTAGCGTTACCGGAGACTGCGTATGGGTTCAGTTGGGTTAGTTTTACGTACACATCACTTATTCAGTATTTTTCCGTGAGACGAGAAACAAGCTGTGTGAAGCGCCACTTTCATTGTGAGAGCTTCTACGAACTCCATTCTAATAAAAACGTTTTATTTTAAATATTTGTTTAACATAATTGGTAAATTTTGGGACAACGCGTTGAAATTAAGAAACGGGTGAACATGTAGCTTCATCTCATTCAAATTTCGGGGTCAAAATTGTAAAATTGAACATCTTCAAAAAAACCACAAATCATTTTTGATGGTAGCGGGATAATACGGAATATATTTTGATAGGTTAGACTCACGCAGGGTTAGGAATAATTAGGTTAGTTTTAGGGTACATGTCTATTATTCAATATTTTTTCAGGAAGCCGAGAAATATGCGAGGGCAAAGCGCTAATTTTAATGTGAGAATTCCTATAAACGCTAATATCGAATATATTTTGATAGGTTAAGTTAAGTATGGTTAGGATTAGGGTTAGGTAGGTTAGGTTATGATTAGTGTTGGCTTAGGCTAGGTATATTTCTATCAAAAGATGTTCAACATTTTTATTTTACTACATTACTATAATATGTAGATATTTTAATACATTTTAATGAATGTTTTGTGTATGTCGGACGAATGGAAAAAGCATAAGCTCCTATGTTATTATCAGTTATTTTTAAAAATTAAAAGTAATGTTTATAAACCACAGTATCAATTATACTCTCTTTTAGCAAATAACAAAAATTTGAGGATTTGAATTGCAATAGAAAGATTAGATGTTACGGTATTAAAAAATAATCACTGTATGAAGCTTACGTCACGAGTCAAAGGATACGAAAATGTAAACAAAAATAAATCATTATTTTAACTTAACGTTAAAAAAAGCACGTTTGGTGTTATTCGTTACGAATTCAAGGTGGCATTTTTCTTTTTGATAACCCCAAGAATTAAAAGAAAAAAAATTGTTTTAACATAAATATGTTTTTAGACTGTTAGGAACGGATTATCTTTGGTGGTTTGGTTATATAGGTTAGGGTTAAGGACGGATATGTTAAGTCAGGTAGAATTTGAGTTAGGGGCAGGTTAGGTTAGATAGAGTTTAGGTTTCGCTTTGAATAAAGATATTTTAAAAATTATTTCCATATCAGAACTGCACAACGCTATCAGTGAACTTTTTCTTGTTAAGCAAGGATCGTTGTATGTATTTAATATCATTTTCTTTCTTGCTAATAATAAGTTTGTAAGTTGGACAAATCGGTGTTGGTCAAAAGAGTTAGTTTTTGTAGTATCCCAATTTGATAAAAATATTTTATTTATCATTAATAAACAATATTATTTAAAAGGTAATTATTAAGAAACCGGAATCCATGGGGTTGATATAACCTGCTTTTGCCCCCGTCCCCGTAAAAAGTAAGGAATATCGCGTAAATCGTACCTTCGAGGGTTTATTAATCTTCAATTGTAAGATAACTTTTGTGGTATTCAAAATTAGTTCATAATTAACTAGCTGAACGGACGGCAAATAAACCGATATCACGCGGTTTTTATCTTAACGAGGGTATTTCAACTACAAGGTTATATGAACTCTCGGGGTGCTGATTTAAAAAAAAAAATCCTTTTAGTAAGTTTGTCGGTTTGAATGCAGCGCCGCAAGATTCGAACCCGGGACCTTTACGTTACAGTGATGAGCGCCGTGTCAACGCCTAAATCGTTGCGGCCACGCCCCAATATCACGCGTTAACATCTATTTTTTAACCAATTATTCCATAAAAAATATTGCATTATTAGCGTACAACTTAATGGAAAATCATTCTAAATTGTTGAAAAAACTCAGCATAGCACTTATTAATATAAATAGGGATTTTGAATAGTTTTCTTTTTTTGTTTTGTGTACTTTACCTGTATAGTAGAGCCATCAGAGTGGCGATTGGGCTATTTGTAACAATTATCACAGTTAGTGCAATTTCAAACAGTGCATTAGTTGCGAAATTATTAGTAACATTTTACTACATATAAATTAATTTAATTATAATTATTTAAATTTAAAACAGAAATTTCAGTAGTAAATAGTTACGGTATAAACGGTAAAAAAGTGAAGTGATTTTAAAAGTGAAGTTGAATATTGATCCATGCTTCATGCCAACAATTAGTTGAGTAGTTAACGCAGGATATTTTTAAAAATTTGAATAGCGTGTAGATTTTCTTTTTTAAGTACTCAGTTAGGAGTGAAACTGTAAAAAAGTAACTTACTGTTTATCTTCTTTTAAATTTGAAGGGCCCGGCCTTTCCAGGCCGTCAGTTACCATTGCATCGAAGACCAGAGACTGCATGAGTGTTTTATCACCTATAAAATGTCAAATGTGTAATATAATATCGAGGCAATAAACTTCACCGTCTTCTTTCACGACTTACAGTAGTATGAGTCCTTTTCCGTTTTCTTCGTGTTGGCGTGAGCTGGAGAAGGAATAAAGTTTGGAAAAATTACAAATCGTTCAATAATTTACAAGTGGGAATAATTGAAATTACCTGGTTCGTGTTCGCGGGCTGTGGGTGACCTCGGCCGGAGGGACATCCACTTCCAGCCGGGTTTGCGGGTTCTTGAAAGAAAATGGAGCACTTGCTCTTCAGGCGAGGAAAAATTATGCTCGCCTGCGTAATTGTACTCACAATAAACCCTGAAACACACAAGCATGCACGTAAAGATTTTTTAAAAAGTTTTTGTAGATAGGGATTTGTAAAATAGGCTCAGTTATTATTAAGTAGGTTAATCGGTGAATAATTTAGAAATTTATAGAGGTTCGCAACAGCAGAGGCTTTACCAACCCGCGGTCTTCCACTGTAAAAAAAACAGACAAAAACAGCCCATTTGGTAATACTTTCATACCCTTCCAGTGATGTCGCCTTAATCAAAATCCAAAATTTACAAACCGGAAAAACATACTGTTTTCAAATCTCGTCATAAAAAACATTGTAATGTCTGTAATAATATTGTTGATCTAGGAGGAAAAAGGACAACTAAGAAGAAGAAGAAAAATAACTTTATTCTGGGACTGGTGTCCCATAAGAATAATTTACATGAAATAAATAAAGGAAGTTTCTTCTATGAAGTTAAAAGTAAAAAAAAAGATAGAAATCTTGGCACAATGTATACCAATAAGGCAGGACAGAAGAAAAAATTACGAGAATATTAAACAAAAATAACAAATGTTAACGTGAGGTCTCTGCTTGGAGGGAGAGGAGGTGATTATACAGGTGGGATTTAAAGGAGGAAAAGGAGGCAGCGTGACGAATAGAAAGGGGAAGGGAGTTCCAGAGTTTAGGGGCTCGGATCAGAAAGGATCTTTCGAAGGTATGGGTTGTATGTTGCGGAAGGATAAGGTCGATTGGGGATGAGCAGGTGTTATGAGTGTGATGTGCGGAGTTGAATTGGAGGGATTGGGTGATGTAAGGAGGACGACGAGTGTGGATGGACTAGAAAAGAAAGCAACCTAGGAAATACTGTGCACGGAAGAAGGGGAATAGCGAGGAAAGTTGGGAATACAACCCCGACACCCGGGATCCCCGTGGGGTGCCGGACACAAACCTTACGCAACAATTCATAATACGCTTCAATCGCGCGTTCTCCCCCTCCGAGAGACAACCGTATGCCAAACAGTTATAACTAAAAAAAAGAAACTAAAACTACATGTCGATCTAACAGTAAGAGTGGATCTATGGATGTCACGGCTATAGACACTTCAAATTATGAAGGATTATTGGCCGGTCACATCTGATAAACTGTTCGAAATTTTCATCACCGTCATCATGGAGTCGTGTAATACCTAACAACATTAATCAAGCTGTTAAGAAAGCTTGTTGATAATTTTTTGAACATGGCTTTTTTTTGGGTGAACAGAGAATTATTTTACGTTTCTGTTTTCGCATCGTTGATTACCGGGCAATGAACGAGAGTTAGGTTTAGGGACAGGTTAGGTAGTGTAATAATTAATGTAAGGATTAGAGAAGGGTTAGTTCGGTAGGGTTAGTACATACAGTTTTTGTATTGTTAGTCATGATTTTAAGAAAAGAAAATATTAACAAGAAAACAACAAACACAGAACATTGAGGTTCTGTATTAGTTTCCACTCGAAAACGGATTTTACAAAACAATTCATTAGNAAGTTAATAGGGTTAGGTAGGGGTTGGGTTATGTAAGGTTAGGGTCAGTGCTAGGGTTAGGAATTAGTTAGGTTAGGTTAGGTAAGATTAGGGTAGGAAAGGGTAAGGGTACATTTAGGTAAGGTTAATACATAAAGTTTCTTGTTCTAACTATGTATATTCTTTTTCCAAAACGATATCTATTAAAGATTTTCAATTAGTCAATTGAAAACAGATTTTACAAAACAATCTATTGCAAAATTAAGAAAGAAATTTTAGATTTTAAATATTTTTTATGTGAGTCAAATCGTAGTTGGTTTCATAATTATGCCGACAGTTTTAACAGCTCAGATCAAGCCCTAAGCTATTTCAACATGGATAAGTTTTTGGGCCAGATACACATTGTGTGACCATTTGTACATCATCAGTGAGGCGAGGTATAGTTAGTTCGAGTTAGTAATTAGTAGGTATAGTAATTAGTAAACAATAATAGTTCTCAATTTAGAGTTTTTTTGAATCCTCAATCGAATTTCCATTTTTTTAAAAATAATTTGTACTACAGCTTTATCCACAACGATTTTGACCCTATGATACTGTTAAGTATGTACTAAATGCTGTGAAAAATTAATTTGGGGTTAGATAAATTATAAAGGCTATAAAAACGTAAATAACTTTTGCTTCACTAACTGAATAACTTTTAAAAACAAAATAAAGATTATGCGTAAAATTGAAATATTTTCTATATACAGTTTTTAAGTTTGAAATGAGAGAAAAAAATTGATTGAACATTGATTTTTACTGAGTTAAGATTTGTTCATCTGATGTGATAAAATAATGTGTGATAACTGGCAAATTGTTAAATTTCAAACTTGAAACAAAATAATTAAATGATATCAAGAAAATCAATTTTACTACTGGGCTTCAGGGGGTGTTAAACCACCCCGTTCAAAACGCCAAGAATAAAAAGGGGGAAAAACGTTTTCCACTCTCTTTGGCCTCTAATGCATAATGAATACGTGTAGTGATAGTAAGCGTGTAAAAACGTCGAGCAAAAGGGTAGAAAAATGTGAAAGGGATAACAAAGTTGCCGGTTGAAGGGGGCGATTCGCATGAAAAACTGTACGCGTGTACAAAGAGTTGCCGGGGCATCTGAATTGTAAAAAGCGTAGATGTAATCTTACCAGTCGGGGTGCACCCTCCAGTTGTTTCCTTTGAAGTACTCGGTAACTGCAAAAGGAATGAAACATTAGACATGTTTATTTTAATCTTTTTTCGCTTTTAAGACGCGACGTGGAAAAAAAACTCACCGTTGATTTGACTGAGCTTGATCTCCTGCTCGGCTAGCACTTCATAAAGGCCGTAACCGTCCGGCAAAGCCAAACCGAGCGTAAAAGGGGTGCCCTCGATTGGGTGATAAAAATATTTGTGCCTACGTGTCGTTACTCTCCTCTGGAAAAAAAATAAATCTTGTGCTTTAATGAGCGTATGTTTGAGGTATAGAAAACTTTCTTGTGTAACAATCAACATCATCTTTGACAAATTTTTATATTTATAAAGAATACAATCAAACACTGCATATAAAGATTGTCAGGTTTTTTGTCCTTCACTTCTCATTTCAGCTTAGGAAAGAGAATTCTTGTAAATACAAAATCAAAACCATGGACAGAATTGCAAAAATTGTTAGGACTTAGGCTTAGCGATTACTTAGCTTAGCGGCTTAGCGGAAAAAACGGCAAGGTTATGGTCAGAATATGTCTTATGTTAGAGCGGTTTGGTAGTGTTATGATTATGTCAAGTTAGGTAGGTTTATGGTTAGGGTTAGGTTACATATCCATGATAGCATGTTATTTTGTAAAGCGGAAAATGCGACTTTTTTGTCCAATTTCCGATTTTTGTAGGGTTATGTTAAGCTAGGGTTAGAGTTATGCAAGGCTAGGTAGGTTTAGCATTATGATTTCGCGGCATAATCATGATTCAATGTTTTCCCGCAAAGCTGTGAAAATATTCGCGTTTTTGTCCAATATACGATTTTTGTAAGGTTAAGTTTGGTTAGGGTTTGGGGTTGGCTAGGTTACATATCCATGATTCAATTTTTTCCACGAAGCGGAGAATATATGCGAGTTTTTGTTCTATTTCCGATTTTTGTCGAGTTTAGTTAGGTTATGGTTTTTTCCGGCATTGGACTATTGTTTTCAGCAATGTTAATAGGTTATGGTTAGAATATGGCTTATGTTAGGACTGGTTGGGTTTGTAGTGTTAGAGTTATATAAGGTTAGGTAGGATTAGATTTATGGTTAGCCTACATAATCATGATTCAATGTTTTTCAAGGAAACGGAAACTATATGAGAGTTTTTGTTCAATTTCGGATTTTTGTAAGGTTAAATTAGGTTAAGGTTATAATATGGGTTATATTAGGGACGGGTTAGGTTAGGTAGGGATACGGTTACGGTTAGGTTACACATTCATGATGAAATTATTTTCCGTGAAGCGGAGAAAATATGCGCGTTTTTGTAATAGGTTATGGTTAGAATATGGCTTATGCTAGGGCTGATTAGGTTTGGTAGTGTTAGAGTTATATAAGTTTAGGTAGGATTATGTTTATGGTTAGGCTACATAATCATGATTCAATGTTTTTCAAGGAAGCGGAAACTATATGAGAGTTTTTGTTCAATTTCGGATTTTTGTAAGATTAAATTAGGTTATGGTTATAATATGGGTTATATTAGGGACGGGTTAGGTTAGGTAGGGATACGTTTAAGGTTAGGTTACACATTCATGATTCAATATTTTTCCGTGAAACGGAGAAAATATGCGCGTTTTTGTCCAATTTCTCATTTTTGTGTGGTTAAGTTAGGTTATGGCTTGAATACGGTTATGCTTGGGACGGGCTAGGGTTATGTAAGGTAATGTAGGTTTAGGGTTAATTACATATCAAAGAGAAATATTCGAATTGTTTGTTCAATTTCCGATTTTGTTGGGTTATGTTAAGTCGGGGTTAGGGTTATGTAAGGTTAGGTAGGTTTAGCATCAGAGTTAGGTGACACATCCACGATACAATGTTTTTCTATGGAGAATATATGCGAATATGTTAAACATGAAATCAATTATTTTAGTAATACAAAAATGTAACAATAAAATTACCATTTCATCGTAGTGCACTTTCACCTTCAGATCAGTCTCCCCTTCCCTCTGGTTGATCATATCGGTTCTCAACTGAAAATGGAATAAAAATGGTAATACAATTGTATATCGTGTTTTTTTTTTTTTAATGAAACTTGTAAATCCACGCTTACATCATTTAGGATACTGTTGTTGTCCCTTGGATTTATGTCGTCCTCAAGCAGTTCGACACTCGTAAGGTCGACACTGTTGTAATTTGGTTTCAAGGTTTCAACAAACTGAAATGTAACGAGTAAACAAGTAATATATATCAAATTAAGACTTATTTAGATTTAAGGAAAAATAAAAAAAAATATATATAAAATCTTACCAAGTTTTTGTCGAGCTGCATAAACAAAAAGAATAATTTTTAAAAACTTGCAATTAAGACGAAGATTTTATTTATAGGTACTTACGAAAGGTCGCAGATCCGGATGGTAGAGAACGTGCCCGTTATTATTGACAATGAACGAGTAGCCATTTACTCCGAGCTGAAATTAATTCAAAACAATTTTTTAAATAAAGTTTTCTTATTTTATATATATAACAACTCCACGGTTCATATCATATCTCTATTGATAGGTTGAAAAATTCCAAGTTGAAAACCTTTACTCAGGTGGTTTCGTTTCTGATGATGGGCCATGAGCCCGAAACGACCATGTAATTTACTAAATTGAATAAAGGTTTTGAACCACGGAGAACTTGGAATTTTTCAACCCATTAATAAAGTTTTCCTCTTTTTTAAACTTAAGTTTAAAAAAAATCATGTGCTTACTTTGTAGGGGGGCACTAACTTCTTGATCTGTTGGATAGGGATGTCAGTTCCGACGACTCCGAGCAGATTGGCCGTCCTCTCCTGTTGAAAACAAACGAGATTGACAATTTGAATTAAATAAAGACAACAAAATAGGTTTGACAAGAATTCATATAGGCCAATAAGTCTACTACCTACTTTGGGTAAAATTTTAGAAAAACTACTGAAAAGAATTCTTCCGATTCTAAATTCTCAAAACATAATCCCAGGCCATCAATTTGGTTTTCGCAACCGCCACTCAACTGTCCAGCAGTGTCACCGCGTGGTAGACATTATTTCATCCTCCCTTGAGACGGGACAGTACTGTTCCGGAGCCTTTATTCACGTAAGCCAAGCTTTTGATCGAGTTTGGCACCCGGGCCTGCTGTTCATGCTCAAGGGCATCCTTCCATCCACCTACTATCTCGTACTGCACAGTTATCTCACTGACCGATTCTTCCAAGTCATCGAAGGCCATTCCCTCTCTTCATATTTTCCTATCCGTGCTGGTGTTCCTCAGGGTAGCGTTCTGGCCCCTACACTGTACCAGGTTTTCACAGCTGACATGCCATCTCATCCCGAAACCACCACATTCACATTTGCAGACGATACGGCAATTCTCTCTAGCAAGTCCGACCTTGTCATTTCCACTCAAAACCTCCAACAACACCTCATACTACTAGAGTCTTGGTGTAAAAAGAAAAGGATAAAATTTAAGAGACAAATCCACCCACATTATTTTCACTCTCCCCTCTGTTTTCTTAAACAATATTCCCCTCCCAACTGCGGACAAGGTGCGGTACCTCGGATTGTACATCGACAAACGCCTGACGTGGAATCCTCACACAAGACTGAAACGTCAGGAGGTTATGACACGATTTAGAGTTCTTCCACTTCTTGACAAACGCTCTAATTTACCTCTCAAAAATAAAAGGCTGCTTTACAACACCATAGTTAAGCCGATTTGGACTTACGGACTGGAAGTGTGGGGTTCAGCCAAATATTCCAATATCCACCGCATTCAAACTGCCCAGTCTATAATACTACGAAAAATACTAGATGCTCCATTTTATGTATCGAACCAAACTACACATACAGATTTACATATTCCTTTCGTACAAGATGAAATACGTTTCCGTTACCGTAAATTTCATAAAAACCTCCCAACTAACGTAAACCAACACATCAGAAACCTCGCATCCCGACGAATCCCCTCAAAACCTCCACGCCGACTGAAGAGACAATGGCAGCGAGATCTCCTAGGAAGTGATGGTGATGATAGTGAAAGTGATAATGACACACGTATCAATTGAACAAACAATTTTATTGCAACATTGGAGTAATATCAACGGGTATTTTCTCCACTCTTGGTTTTAATTTTGTTTTGTTTTAATTACCTTGCTCATTGTTACTTAATACCTACTTTAAGGTTGTAATGTACTACAAATTATAAAAAAACGACAAGAATTATTTTAAAAAATACTTACGGAACCGTTTCTCCTATCAAAAATCGGCGTTGAGACTGTGGTCATCAATTGTCCTTCCCGGATGTCCTCAGTCACAAGAGTATTCGTCTGCAATGTCAATTTGTGTATTTAGTTGTATGCCTTGGGTGAAACTAACTACTAAGATAGTTAAAAAATCATGAATATTTTCTGTATTTTCCTTTTTTTTTAAGTTTCTTTGTTTTGTATAAAAAGATGAAAGAAATTGGGGTTACTTCCAAATGAGGACCAAATATGGCCAATATTTGACCAATATTTTTTAAATGTTTAAAAATCGATCGAACATGGGCGTAAATTAATCAAGGGTGTATTTTCAAAATCTGGCGAAAATGAACGGAATGACAGAAGGTTTGGAACCGATAACCAATCATTTTGGTTTTAATTGGTTGGAAGGATCGTGCTGAATCGATCCAACTCGTCCCGGCGCGGACTTAAAATTGAAAGCCAAGCTGAAATAGCCGTACAAACAGAAATACGCGTTGTTGAAAATAAATTACCTATTTGTCATTCCCGAGATTTGTTTGTTTGGCTCTCTGTTTGCCCAAGATTTACAAGGGGGAGAACATAGAAAGGGAGTTCATGATTCATCCCTTTTCTTGATTTCTGCAGGGACCTATTGGGGGGTAAAAAAACCCGACGTCTACAGTAAGATTTAGGATGGGGGCTCCGGCTTCGTTTATTTATTAAAGTGAGCTATGCCCAGTGATAACGTTCTATCGTTTGGCTTTAAAAATTCACGCCTTGTGAGTTCTTGACGTAATGATTCTACGTGGTACTTCCCATTAAAAAAAAAACCAAGGTAAAAAAAGCTGTATTTTATGTCTTACCTGCCCTCCTGTGTAGACGGGCGTCCAGTGTATAGGGTGGTCAGACTGATACATGACCATAGGCCTCGACATGACTCGTAAATAATTCTGCACCTTCTCTTTTATTGTTTCAGGTTTGTCTATATTCTCGTAATAACCTGAAAAAATTGTTGAAATAAAATTCCTTTAAATTTGAAGTTCCGGTATTTTATTGTTGTTATTATTATTAAGATAATAAGATATAGATAAATACTAATATAAATCTTAAATAAAAGTATACAAAGTTATATTTTTTTATTAAAATATAATGGCTTTTGCACATAATGAACCCAGTTTTATGAGATTCCTAGCTTTACAAGCGATTCGACTAACTTTTTGAAAGCTGCACATTCTTGACTTAATCACAACTCGCCATCCCTTACACCTCGACTCTCGTCTTTTATGTATATTCGAAGTTCAAAATACCTTCCTAATCAAAACATGGTCTGTCAAAATCCTGCTGCAAGAGAGGAAACGGTTTGTAATTATTACAATGGTTTAAATTGGGCGGTATAAAAAAAAATCCGAGCTCGGTAAGAAAATCGCTTTTGGAAAGTTGTACTTTTTCCATACTTTCTTCAACATTCAAACCCTTCATCCCAAACAATTCTTCTTTTCTTTTTGTAGAACAATAATACGGAAACAATAGTAGCGAGGAATTTTTCCCAAAACAAACTCTCAGAATTGGAATAAATGTTTTCGTACAATATTAAAACAAAGGTGTAAAAATTTGTCGCAATTCTGCCAAAAATATACAATTCGCCATTTTTAAATACTACTAGCTACGAATTCGCAGGAAAAAGAAAAATAAAACAAAAAAAGGTTTGTTGTAATAGTCTAAATTGAGTTTGAAGAAAGAGTTTGAGAAATAATAATAAATTTATCAATTAATTATTCTTTCTATGTAAGGTCTTGGTTGAGATAAAAAAGTCAGTGTCAAGAGCGGGATTCGAACCCACGACTTTCGGCTAAATACGTCACTAATCTACCACTTGAGCTATCGTGACTAGCCGAAGGTCGTCTACTTCCGTTTCTTTCTTTATTTCTTTCTCTCTCTCTCCCTCTCTTTCTTTCTCCCAATCTCTTTCTCTCTTTCTTCTCGTTATTTCTTTTTTCTCTCTCCCTCTCATTCTTTTTTCTTTTTTTTTCTCTCTCACACTCAGATTCTCTCTATCTCTCCATCTCTCTCTCTTTCTCCCTCTCTCTCTCTCTCTCTCGCTCTCTCTCTCTTATTCTCTCACACGCTACGTTGTTCTTTCAAAGGCGTTTCATTCTTTCTCTTTCTCTCATTCTTTCTTTCTTTCTTTCTCTCTCTCTTTCTCTTTCTTTCTTTCTCATTATTTCTTTTTTCTTTCTCTCCCTCTCATTCTTTCTTTCTTTCTCTCTCTCTCTCTCTTTCTTTCATTCTCACTATCTCTTTCTTTCTTTCCTCCTCATTCTTTCTTTCTTTCTCTCTCTCTTTCTCTTTCTTTCTCACTACTCTTTCTTTCCTTCTCATTATTTCTTTTTTCTTTCTCTCCCTCTCATTCTCTCTCTCTTTCTTTCTCTCTCTCTCTCTCTCTCTCTCTCTCTCTCTCTCTCTCTCTTTCTTTCATTCTCACTATCTCTTTCTTTCCTCCTCATTATTTCTTTTTTCTTTCTCTCCCTCTCATTCTTTCTTTCTTTCTCTCACTCTCTCTCTCTTATTCTCTCACACGCTACGTTGTTCTTCAAAGGCGTTTCATTCTTTCTCTCTCTCTCTCTCTCATTCTTTCTTTCTTTCTCTCTCTTTCTCTTTCTTTCTTTCTCACTATCTCTTTCTTTCTTTCCTTCTCATTATTTCTTTTTTCTTTCTCTCCCTCTCATTCTTTTTTCTTTCTTTTTCTCTCTCTCACTCAGATTCTCTCTATCTCTCCCTCTCTCTCTTTCTCTCTCAGTCTCTCTCTCTCTCTCTCTCTCTCTCTCTCTCTCTTATTCTCTTAATCTCTCACACGCTACTTTGTTCTTTCAAAGGCGTTTCATTCTTTCTCTCCCCCTCATTCTTTCTTTCTTTCTCTCTCTTTCTCTTTCTTTCTCTCCCTCTCATTCTTTCTTTCTTTCGCTCTCTGTTTCTCTTTCTTTCTTTCCTTCTCATTATTTCTTTTTTCTTTCTCTCCCTTTCATTTCTTCTTTCTTTCTCCCTATCTCTTTTTCTCTTTCTTTCTCTTTCTTTCCTTTTTCTTTCCCTCCCTCTCATTGTTTCTTTCTTTTTCTCTCTCTCATTCACATTCTCTCTTTCTCTCTTATTCTCTCACACGCTACGTTCTTCTTTCAAAGGCGTTTCATTCTTTCTCTCCCTCTCATTCTTTCTTTCTTTCTTTCTCACTATCTCTTTCTTTCTTTCCTTCTCATTATTTCTTTTTTCTTTCTCTCTATTTCATTCCTTCTGTCTTTTTCTCTCTCTCTCTCTCTCTCTCACTCACATTCTCTCTCTCTCTTATTCTCTCACACGCTACGTTGGCCTTTTAAAGGCGTTTCATTCTTTCTCTATCATCAGAGTGTCTGTGTGATATCTGTAAAAAAGTCTTGGCGAAGAGTTCTTCTCAGTAGATGGCGCAAAGCTGAAATGCATTTGATTCACCAGGAAACTTACGAGTGTAGACGGACCGAGTGACGGCAACGTGAGTTCACCGATTGGCAGACCGTCCAAAAACCAGCTGTTTGTACGAAAAACGATTGCCACCCCCAGGTTAAACTAATTTCAAATAATTACCTTTATTAGAGCAGGCGATCCAAAATAGTTCCGCAGCGTTAGATTTGTCTTTTCCAATGAGGTATGTGAAAACCCTGACCGGCATGTGAGGCCAATTGTAAGCCTTGAAAATATGCCTGAGGTCGCCTTTTGGTCCCATCGTCACGAGCATCAGAGCCTGGTTACACTGACAGCCCTGGGAAGTTTGATTATACTGGAACAAAATTAATTAACATTAATTTCTGTTAATAGTCTCCAACAGTTTACGATTTAAAAAAGAAAATTTAAAACAATTTTCGTCGTTTGAATAAAACAAATAAAAGTTGCACCCTCGGTGCGTTATCGTATTGTCTCATGTCTAGATGGGGGATGTCGTGTGGGAATGTATTTTTCATGACGTTAGATTGAACGTCAAGCCTGATAAGCTAAAGGCTATATAAAAACCATCGGGTGGACCTATATTTGAAACATGCAAGAGTAAATTGTTCATCAAATGTCCCAGTGAAAAGCTCACTGTTTAAATGTGTCGAAAAGATTCACGCTTCGTTGCAAAACGATGCACTTGAATTTTATTCTCTAACTTCATCAATTGATAATTATTTAAATTCGTTCTATCTAAAGAGTACTGTAAAAATCAAGTCATATTCATAATCAGATAACATTCTAGTTTCAAATAGTTTTCAGAGTTGACTAACTGGTAAGCAACAATAAATAGTCTTTCTATGAAAAAAACGCCCTCTTTGCATTTTTCATGGCAGAGTTTTGTTAAATTAAACATTGATTAGTCAATCTTGGGATAAGCGATTTGAAAGAATCGCAAAGTTCTGTTTTTTGAGACTTGTGTTGAGTGAAAGTTTCCATGCATTAGAGGCTAACAGAGCAGAAAGAAAAAAGGAAATAAAAATGAGAATTCGTGACACGCATTAAAAGAGATACCAAAAATTTGTAAGGTTTTTCACTTTATAGTCAACAAGGCTAAACAATTATTATACTTTATATTTTACGTTGCTTAATAATAATAATAATGGACACATTTGATTTTCACTCTATGAACAATTTTATTCGAAGTTGTTCATTTTTTTAAAAACTTGTGTAAAAAAAAGATGTGCAGAGCAGAAAGTCCCTTTTTTGCACATCAAATTCATACTTTTATAGACAGAAGTCACTCAGGTACAAATTAAATTTAGTTTTTTACAAATCAAATTTTTCTTTTTTACTAAGTAACTTTTGCAAATAAAATTCACTCGTTCACAAATTCAAATTTACTTTTTTCCTAATGGAATTCAACTTTTTGAAAATGAAACTAACTTTTCTTCAACATCAAATTAACCCTTCATGCAAATAAATCTACTCTTTTGCAAATCGAATTAACCTTTTTGCAAATTATATTAACTTTTTGCGAATCAAGTATGCCATTTTGCAAATTAAATTCACCCTTTTGCAAATAGAATTATCTCTTTTGCAAATTAAATTAAATTTTTGCAAATCAAGTATGCCATTTTGCAAATTAAATTCACCCTTTTGCAAATCGAATTCACCTTTTTGCAAATTAAATTAACTTTTTGCGAATCAAGTATGCCATTTTGCAAATTAAATTCACCCTTTTGCAAATTAAATTAAATTTTTAAAAATTTTTACAAATCAAGTATGCCATTTTGCCAATTAAATTCACCCTTTTGCAAACAGAATTATCTCTTTTGCAAATTAAATTAAATTTTTGCAAATCAAGTATGCCATTTTGCAAATTAAATTCACCCTTTTGCAAATAGAATTATCTCTTTTGCAAATTAAATTAAATTTTTGCAAATCAAGTATGCCATTTTGCCAATTAAATTCACCCTTTTGCAAACAGAATTCTCTTTTGAAAATTAAATTCACTTTTGAATTTCATATCAAGTATACAATTTTGTCGTGTTCGAATGCAGGGCCGCTGGATTCGAACCTGGGACCTTACAGTGATGAGCGCCGTGTCAACGCTAAACCGTTGCGGCCACCGACGCCCCTGTTAGACACCTTTAACTTTAGATGTTGAGAGAACGAAAATTTTGGCGTTAACAGAACTCGTAAATATTTATACTGGTTAACAATTTCTATTATCTCCGCATTGAAATACCAACGTTCGGAAGCAGATAACCTCTCACCCCTTCGAAAAGCCATGAATTTGGATTTCCTTAGATTTGCTGTTAGACTCCATTGTCAATATCCTTTTGGAGGCGGCGATGCTTTCATATACAATAAAAATGTCGTCCGCATCCATGATGACCTTTATTACGTCGCCGCCTATATGTATACAAAACGCGAGAACGTATGGAAGTCAAGCAAAAACAATGCAAACCAAATTGGGCTGAAGATACAACCCTGACTTACCCCACAGCCAATTAAAAAAAAAAAAAATTGCTTTTCTCTGCCTCTTATTGGCGCAGAACAATGATTAATTATACTTTTTACGGTATTTAGAAATTTCGTAGATAAATCTTAGTTGTAACCCATTAGTACGAGGGCTCTTCTCTCAGCGTTATCAAATGCTGCCTTAATGTCCACAAATAAACAATCCAATTTTTGCCTTTATCCAAACTCAAACGCAAAATTTGTTAAGACAAAAATATTATCCCTCGTGGAAAAATCTCGACGAAAGACTGCTTGTGTCCTAATTAACAAATTATTAGTTGATACAAAAATTTACATTCGTTTCAATAAAATTCCTGAAAATATTTTAGCAATTGCAACAATGCAAGAGATGCCCCAGAAATTTGTGACTAGGTTTGAAAAGATCAGAAGGTTTACCATCATTTTACGCGCAAAGCAAACTTATTATGAATTTCAATTAATTAAGGTTTTTTAGTTGCGTTAAAAAAGTCAGTGTCACGAGCGGGATTCGAACCCACGACCTTCGGATAGATACGCCTAAGTTAGTGTCCGAGTGGATCGAAGTCATGATAGCTCAAGTGGTAGAGCAGTGGAGTATGTAGCCGAAGGTCGTGGGTTCGAATCCCGCTCGTGACACTGACTTTTTTATCTCAACTAAAAAACCTTAATCGAAAGATATTAATTGGTCAAGCGGACCACGAAAATTAGTGAACTTATTATGAATATTAGTTATATTTGTGTAACTCACTCTGTGCAGTATTTCGAAACCTGTCACCAACGCGGCCGAGAAGTTAGCGCCGCTTTCCAATTGAACGCTATCCAGCGCCACAATCAACTCTCTTTTGTTGATTTCGTTTGCCTAGAAAAATAATGTTTAGAAAAGGATTTTTAAGCAACACCGAGAAATATTAAAAACCGTACCTGAACTAATAAATCTTTAAAGCAGTGAAGAAGTTCCTTGGTCGTTTCCGCAAATGTGAAAACGTTGACGAAATCATCATCACCGAGCGTGTTGATGATGGCCTTAACTGTAAGCTTGGCTAGTTCTAAATCGTTACTGCTCATAGAGCTGGATACCTCCATCATGATTGCCAAGTCTTTTGGACTGGTGGAGGCGCCGACGTACCAATTGGACGTTCGGAAGTCGTGCAGCTCCTTGTTGCCTTTCGACTCCTCCGGCGGCCATTGCATGGCTAAAAGTTAGCCACAAGTTAGCGGGTCGATATTTCATAATCGACGTTACTGAGTGACTACTCACCGGGAAATCTTCTTAGAAACCCCGTCGAACTGCCGAAGTACTGCCAAGAGACAGCGGGGTCGACTTCGTAATTGTTGACAAACACGGGGTCCAAGTGTTCTGACCATCTCAAAGCGTTAGCCACCTGAATATCTGAAACAAAATAAATAAATACACATCTTATCTATTTAATGACAAGAGAAGTTAAAGTTAAAATAAAATTTGTTGTAATGCCCGGCTATTTTATTAGAAGTATATTATATTCAAAAGCCTAGGGATAGAAGGGGTCACAGAGCCTCTTGAACCTTGACCTAAATATATCTATAGTTCCCCTTTATTTTTCTTAGAACTCACCAGTCAGCAGGCTGTTAATCAGGTTTCATACCCTGGCTTGTGGTTCTTTGTTGAAGGAGATTGATTGCGGTTTATCCTCTCCCAGCCTATACCTTTACAGAATCACATTATCTGATCTTTGGTCTTTTCCACTTCTTGGCAAAATTTCCATAATGATTTTTTCGCCAGCAAAGCCAGTACTGCGTTCTTAGGCAAAGTGTTCAGTCAGGAGACACAATAGAATTCGAGTTTATTCGGATTTATTTTGTATTTTTGAGAGTTTTGAATCTCTTGGCCTGTTTCATCTCTAGGGTGTTGATCCAATCCTTACAAAAAAAAAAAAAAAAAATCCGTTTACTGTAAATGTAAAACACCAAGAGAAATGGACGGAGTCGTTGTAACGATTTGACTTCCGTTCGATTTTCCTTTGAATGCGCCCTTTGTCAAAAAGGTAATTATGTCCGAAGTAGTCGGAAAAGGCTCGCCGCGAAATGGCAAATTAAACCCGGCCCCCTCAGAGACATCAAGATTCGAAACGGGACAAGTTTAAGACGGCGAAACTTTACAATAGTCCGGCCAGGTAGTAAGACTCTTAATTAATTGTTCAAATTTGTCCACCGTCAATTGATTATTCTCCCGCGAATATTTTCCAAATAAGCAACGAAAGCTGAAACTCCCATCATGTTATCCCATATCTACCATTTATTCAACACATTCGCATAAATTATTTACGATTTTAGACAGTGGTCTTGTATGAACACTTCTATTACTCTTTTAAAATATAGATAGTAAGGGTATGTTAGTTTTGTGTTGCTAATGCACCTATAAAATAACGTATACATAATAGATTTCAGGCCATGTGTGTTTAATGTACTATAAACCTGGCAGATAAAAACCGTCGAAGATTATTCAAAACATTACTCTCGACTTAAGTTAAAATTGGCTTAACAAAAGGCTGGAAAAATACAAATATCTTGTCAATAAGATCACGTAGAAAAATAATAAAACAATTTGTAAACATACAGAGTTAACATTTATTTTTATTTTATTTTTTAATTTTTTTTTTCGGCCGGCTAACTACTAGGGTCATTGCCGGCACCTCACGTATACAGGTATTTAGTGGCTGGGTGTGGCTGTGACTGAATATCGAGTAGCTCACAGGCCCGCCAAATTAGTTTAGGTAATTATATATTTGTTGTGTGATGTGAGGGACAGGTCACCGTTATCAAGGTTGTAGTAATACTACCGAGATGCTGCGACCTCTCTAATATGAATGTATTTATTAGAGTGAATGTTTTGTGTAAATGGACGCGGATGTCGAGGAATATCGAGTACTCCACAATCCCGTCAAAAGGAAATTAGTCTAATGGATGAATAAAATTCTGTACATACTGTATGAGTGTATTTATTAGCACGAATGGAAGGACGTCGGTAGGATTATGACTTTTTATTTAGTTGCAGGGGCAAGACCTCAGTCGTGCATTTGTACTCTGAGCCCTGCCAAGTGTAGATTAGGTAATCATTTTCTTAGCGTGAGTGGGTATTGTTAGTGAGTCTGTAAATATTGAAGTATTTTTAACAAACCACGTGGGGATGGTAGGAACGAGCAACAAGACACTACTCTGTTTGGTCAGTGGAAACGAAATTAAAAGAAGAAATATAGTGAATGAGATAGAGATAAAGTTGAAATGAAACAAAGAAAAATGCGAGAAGCTTATATAGCTTTCTTCAGTCAAATCGGTACTTTTTTCTCCCAATTTAATACTTTTTCCAACCAAATTAGTACTTTTCCCAAGCGATTTAATACTTTTCTTAAGCAATTTCATATTTTTCCCGACCAAATTAGTACCTTTCTCAAGCAAGTTAATACTTTTCCCAAGCAAATTAATACCTATTTAAAAGGTATTCGAAAAAATTGTGGAGCATAGCGTCAATCACTTATTTCATTGAGTTCGCCAGCCTCCCTTATCGTTCCCAGACGGATTTCTAGGAAATTCTCCTTCCCCTGTACTTGATTTCCTTACCCCTAAAATATTCAGTTGTTTGTCACGTCTTATTGTATGCATTGCGTGAGTTTTATATGAATGAGTGACGGAAGTGACTGGAGTGACATAAATGGTCATAATGATGAACCATCACCTAGTGCTGCAGGCGGTTCATCTTCGTCCGGTGTCCGACGTTCAAGACCGAGCTTACGTACGCAGTTACATCAAGGCATCAAAAAGAACTTTTTATAAAATTAGTTGAAGAGGGTCATTCAGTCAAAGATGCAGCTCAAAAATCAAATTTAAAAACTCGAACTGGCTACAGTATATACAGAAATTATAGTATTTAGTATATATGGTAATCACAATTGAACTATTTCATGATCATAATGAATATATTTATAATCAAATGAAGTTTAACTGGACAGAAACAATCCAAGAAGCTTGTCCTATGGAGAAGAGTAAGTAGGAAGAGACTCGGAAGAGGTCGCTGAAAGTTAGTTTGGCCTTCTCCTTGATAAAACCGGAACGTATTGTTACGTTGTTGAATAGATGATCGACGATCACACAATAGATGAAAGGATGATATAAGGACGGCCTACATAAAAGATGATCGATTAATTGTCCTTTTATTTATTGAATGACAAAAATGTTTATTAAATATAATCAATTGTAGAAACTAAAAACATTCAACTGTGTGTTTTGATTTGTTTTTTTTTTCAAACCAAGGTTTGTCCTAGAAATGTTAATGCCTCTGCCTTTTGTTATTGAAATTGCAAAATGAATAGTGGCTTGTTAAATTTGTTTGGTATTTTCTGGTGAAAAGAAGAGGTTCTTCTTTTACCTCTCAAGTTGTACGCCTTGGATGATTTTTAATTACAGACAGATATTATTTCCAAAACCTTCCAAAATATTTCTAGCAGGCGTACATAGTACTGATTAATATTGGAACGATATTTACAAACTAACTTGATGTGAAGTAATTAGTAACGCTGGAGGAAATGGGTGTTAAGTGGCCGGCGCCGAGGAAACAGTTTTGCAAAACGTGGCGGTCGTGCGGGTTTAGCGTTACGCCGCGCCGTTTTATCACATTCCTTTGTAATATACAGGGTGACTGGCGATAAGTGTCGAAAATTTCCGCGTGTTTCTACTCACCATATGCAACAAAAAATTCCTATAAACCCCTGTCCAAATCTCAACGGTAAAGAAGTAATTTCAGGTTATGTGTTTATTTTTATTTTTCGACTTACATCCACTAAGTTGCTTATACACTTCAGAAATTCGGATTGTAGAGAAATCTGGTTTACGCCACCTGAAAGAACGATCAATTTACTGTAAGAAAACCGTTTAACATTGCAGAATTGATGAAAAAATTCTGCACGAAAAATTCAGGAAAAACAAAAATGTTGAAATTTGGAATTTTTTAAAATTTTGGATTGGTAACTGTTAATAGCTAGAATTCCCTCAAAAGTTCTCCATTCAATTAGTTCCAGCGGCATCCCCACTTTTTTTTTGTATTGCGCTTTTGGAAGGCCCAAATATTTTGCATTTTGTTGAAAAAAAAAAACTGGTGTCTATGAAAGGGGGCACGCTAAATTTTTCAAGGAAATCAGTCTGGCTCTTGAGTTTCGTGTCAGTTCTTTATAATTAAATTCAATCAGTTTGCCTTTTGTTGTCAGCTGACAACCTCTTCAGGTTGGTGATTTAAATTATGCCATTGTTTCCTAATGCAGATCTTGCTGATATGGATTTCATTTACGGTTGCTGCAACGATAATGCTACTGCTGCAGGGAGAGAATACCAAGCTCGTTTTCCACATCGAGATGTTCCAACAGATCACACCTTCCAATGGCTTTATCAGAGGCTGAGGGAATAGATGGAGATGAGGTAACTTGTTTTGAATGGAGAACTTTTGAGAGAATTTGCAAAGCTTCAGGAGTTTGTAGTTATTAACAGTTACCAATCCAACATTTTCAAAAAATTCTAAATTTCAACATTTTTGTTTTTCCTGAATTTTTCGTGCAGAATTTTTTCATCAATTCTGCAATGTTAATAGGTTTTCTTATAGCAAATTTCATGTTCTTTCAGATGGCGCGAACCAGATTTCTCTACAGCCGGAATTTCTGAAGGTTATAAACAATTTAATGGACCTAAGTCTAAAAATAAAAATAAACCAAAACTTGACATTACGTCTTTACCGTTGATATTTGAACAGGAGTTTATAGAAAGTATTTTGTTGTATATGATAAGTAGAAACACCTCTTGAAATTTTCGACACTTATCGCCAGTCACCCTTTATAAAATGTAGGCATTGATTTTTGGTGTGATAATATTTTTTATTCAAGTGTAGTCTCCAGCTGGAATTTAAGTTCCAGAATTACACCGGATTAGCTTAGATTGTATCCGTACTATAGCATCTTATGATCACAGTTCAAAAAAAAAAAGAAGAATATTACTTCTTTCAACGCCAACAACGTTCAGATATTAGGGACATTCACGATCTTTGTGTTAACCCTGTTAACTCGGTTAGGTCTTGTTAGTTCGGGAAAATGATGACGCAATATTGTAAGAATCGGCTAGTTAACATTGCTCGATCTAACAGGTTAAGTCGTAGGTGTAGTCACTTTGAAATCCGTCAGGGCGTAGGTAACCAACATGGCAGCCATGAATTTAACAGCTGTTTTTTGTTTACTCGTATTTTTATTCTTAAATACGCATTAATTATATCAGATCAATACATTTCTTTTGTTAATTTCTCACCTGTTCTTATACTCTCATTATTAGTAGGTACATCCCCAATCCTGGAAAGTTGTAGGCTGTTAGACGTTAGGATAC